AAAAAGCTTTATGTCTGCATTAGTCGTTGTTTTATGAACAAGTAAGCAAAGAACACAGAGTGAAGGCAGTAAACTTCTGAAAACATGATATAGTCCTGCTATTTCATAAATTCATATTTTCATCTGCCAATTACGATTTTCAATGGATTCATTTTGTAGTAATGTTAATTAATTGACATATAACTCAATCAAGCAAACATGGTGCATAGGAATTCCTGCTAAGAGCACTTATGGAGTCCACTGTACACTAGGACTAACCTCAGTGGCAGCGGGTTTCGCAGCTCTTAGAGCATCCCCATCAATAATGGCTCCAAAAATCCCTGCATTATTCACCTATATGCACTCTCCTTCAAATTAGAAAGTTTGCATATTTCAGGATTTCAAAATGAACAGGAAAAAGTGAAGTTCAAACCAGACAAACAATCATTGAGAACTCCTATCTGGCTTTAATCAAGGTAGTTCAAAATGGTATAAGAAGCTATTGAATTCCAAATACAACCATCGAGTCCAACATTATCCTAGAAGTACTAACACAAGTGATTTCGATTGTATCTAAGACATATTCACTCTCCCTTTAAAAATGATTAGGTAAGTTGAACTAATAGCTAATCATAGTCATCGCCCACTGTAAATTTGAATAAAAGTTTCCGATATTACCAAAATATCGAGCCTTCCAAACTGGGCTTTGATGAATTCAGCTAGTGAATTGACACTTGCTGGATCCGTAACGTTAAGCTGATGAAAGATTATATTATCAGAAAATCCATACTCTTTGAGTTTCTTAACAGCTTCAAGACCCCTCTTCTCATCTCTGGCAGTCAACACCACTGTAATTCCATTGGATGCCAATTGCCTGCATATTTCAAATCCAATGCCCTTGTTTGAACCAGAAACAACAGCATACCTGATGTTAAATCAAAAAACAGCAGCAAATTATCAAAAAAGACCAGAAAAATTGTTATTTTAACTTCGATGCTGCCAGCAGAAAATATTAATAAATATTTCAGTGTTTCAGTGTTCTTGCTGGATTCCTGGGCCATGGATAATTCAGAGCCTTTTTAGTAATTTTGCTGATAATTATGTGATTTACTGTCTTTCTTTTTGCGTTTGTACGTGGTGTGGTGCGGTGGTTCGAAATCGGGCCGGACAAAACTCTCCAA